TATTCAAACGTAGCTGCATTGCTGTGACCTCTCCATCAATCTATTAAGATTTTTGTTGTGAAGGGTCTGCTTTTCACGCCTCGTTCGCTATACACGCGAAACAGTTCCAGATTTCCAGCTTTCTGTGCTCAACCACTAATTCGAAAATGGGAAAAGGCATGAGATCTCTCTACGCCTGAAACAGCAATAAATGGTGGGACCAGAAAAGTCCAAAAACAGTATCAATCCACTTGAATCCCCATCTTTCATAACTAACGGTCTTGGTAAATGGTAAGATGACTCCTTATTTAGCCGCGGCTAGGTGCTTGGGAATGTTCCATTCGTCGCGATAACAGAATGAAAAGGAGGGAGTCAATTTTCCTTTTCAATTATAGCCGAAATTTCACTGTTACATTACTTTTACTGGTAAAAAGGGCCGTGTTTCAGACGAAATGAACAAGTTTAGATTTTGAAGATAGTCATCTATAACTCCCCACAATTGGTCCGCCGATCGATGAGAACAGCACCTCTTACAGATTTAAACATCGATGGGGGATTGGATGCTAACCGCTGAAGCACTTTTTCTCTGTTGAAGAAATACATTCTAAAGCTTAGTGAAATGACCAATGCGGCTTATGAAAGTTAGTGGTTTTGGCCAAAAGTGGTAAAATTTAGCAAAATGTGTTTGTTAAGACTAATAACTTCAAATAAAAGTAAGAGAAAAAGCAATTTTCTGGGAAAGATACTTGATTTTGTTTTGTATTGCTTTATTTAACAACGACCACTTTGTTTTGGAATAACACTAGCATTGTTTTGCTTCCCCCTAAGTCCAAAGTTTCCTTCTAACCAACGCCCGAATAGTCGACTACCCCATCGTCTACTGCAACGAGGGCTTCGCTAAGATGACAGGCTACAGCCGGGTGGATATAATGCAAAAGAGTGGCAATTGTTCCTACCTTTATGGGGAACAGACTACACAGGAAATGAAGGACCGTTTGATGCAAGCACTGGATAATCAAACTAAAGAGCAATTGGAAATCCTTCTCTACAAGAAAAACCGTACGTGACACAATTAGAAGGCCTTACAAGAGGATAGCGGCATTTCTGGTCGATGCATAATGCACTAGTAGAGACCATACAAGTGCCAAAACATTCTAAGCCCTTAAAGATCTAGGCTTAAACTGCATAATAGGTTTCAAAATCCGATCTTGTTTAATCCGATCTAATCCATAGCTCCGCAGTTTTCATCGAATAATCACCTCTTCTCTTGCATTATGGGGAAGGCTAAGCTTGCTTCTTAGCTGATAAAAGCCACTTAGCATAATGAACATTTTTATTTCGTATCGGAGGAGGAGTTTTAGAATTGTTCATAAACAGTCTTTTTGGTCACTTCAGGCACACCCCTCTGGTTGATGGTCTATATAGCGCCGGTGGTGAATGAAAGGGCTGAGACCGTTCTTATGCTTCTCACTTTTCGTGATATCACCGCACTGAAAACTCCCCTTGACGACGATGAATCCAATAAAGGTAAGTGATGCTGAGGGGAAATGATTACAATAGTTAACGACGGCACCAAATCCTCATGAGGCGTTTCCGGCGTCTGACAGTCGACTTAAGCCCAGAAACGGCACCAGCGCCCATTTCAATGCCAATAGCCACGTCCACGTTGAATAGACAGCTGTGGGATGTTTCGCGGCCTCCATCACGTTTTAGTAGTCTTACACATAGAGCACCTTCAGGACTGTATGAGAAAATCGTTGTCTTGTGCTTTGTGAAATAACGTAAAAAGTCTACTTCATGGCAATTTAACCGGAATATACAAAGGCAATCGCAAATTTGAACTGTTGAACTTTTTAGCAAGCAAGGTGGCTGGATATTCGCTCCATAAATTGATGCATAAATGCGTAGTTTGCTGGCGTTGTTTTGTTTTCCACCGAAAAAATAAGCTGTGAAGCTTTTTCCTCACTGCTGATTGCAAAATAATACTAAGCATGTTTAATTCTAGATGACCTTGAAGTTAGGGAATAATACATCTCCGAACGAGATAATTCTGATAAAAAACTTTGCAAAACATTTCTTAATGTACAAAAAGAAATGGGACCAATCTTAGCATTTGTAGGGGGAAAGACAAAGGACCATAGAAATAGTATCTACCATGCAAACTGACTCAACATTCAAATAGATACTGAGCTATGACAATCTTGAAACAGTCTGATAATGCGCAATCACGCGGAATCGCAGCCATCTGCTCAACGAGTCCAGTCTTTCAGTAGTGCAGTTGCCATCCTTCCAACTCACTACGTGGAGTCTAGGTGGGGAATTCGCTCTAACGACTCTGTGTCACAATTTATCCCGAAAATAGTAAAAATTTGCCAAATTATATTATATTTGTCATAGTTTTACCATAAGCCCGTGAAAGGGCTTAGGCGGTATGAGCGGAGCCCACGTCTCCAACGTGAGGGGTGAATCAAAAGACTGGAAAGGTCACAATTACAAACAAGGCTGCTTCCTTCAACTTTTTAAAGTACACCTCAATTTGTAGTGCTGCAATGTCTCCGTGAAGCACGTCAATGATAGAGAAAACCCCAAGCTCCGGGCAGAAGTGGTACTCAATTTTGCCAAGGAAACCAGATTGGAAATCAGAGGTTAAATACCGATTGTGTATCGATTAGGAATTACTAGGGCTGCCGGATCGATCGACCACACATGACCGCTTGGCCGCCTTAAGAAGTGCTCACGCACGTGCGTCCGCAAAGCCGATCGATCGGCGTGCGATTCATCACCTCTCTCTGTCAAGAAAGGTGCCATTGGTCCAGAGCTTTGGGCTTACCTCAAGAAGTCCATTGAATTTGCATTGCTTCAGTCGTCTTTGGGGCTCCAGCGTCAATTAAGTAGGCCTTTCTGTAGCCTCCACTTCCGTTGCGGTGGACCGGAAGTCTTGGGCAGCGTAGCCGACAATAGGTTCTCAACTTTCCCATTTCTTTGGTTACTTTCTTCACTTTGGTTGATGCACAAAAGCAGGGTAGTCTTGTCGACATCATATTTGTGTAAGACCATTTTACACCAGTTAAAAACCTGATTCTTGGCTTTCCATACCGAACCTTCCCAACAACATCTCCTCTTCAGGTTTAAAAAATCGCATTCAAGCATCTCTTTCGTGCATGTTGCTCAATTGTTGCAACGCTTGCCAGAGGTCTTTTAAAAGCAGGAGTGCGTGAAATATTGTCCCAATTTTTCCAGCAAACATCGGTTCTGTAGGAGCTTTTCCTTCGAAAACATTTGGTTTTCGTGTCATCCGGCAGTTTGTCAAAAGTTGACTAATAGTCTCCTATTCCCGTTCCCTTTCTTCTCGCAAATGCATTCAAGTTCTCTCGAATGTGGTTTAAAATCTCCCAGCTTATTTATTAAGGATGTTTAGCTGAAAGCGCGTTGTTTACGAACCTCTTCCGACAGTTGATGATGACATGATTGCAGTAACTGAGACTGAGGCTGAATGGCCTGTCCGACGAATTTAGCTTTTTGATCCGCTCCAGCCCCACCAAATTCGTGCCCGAGTGTTTTGGCAATCCCCAGGTCCCGGTAAGTGACGCATCATAGAATAACTGTACAATCGAGTTTGCTGAAAATTTTTTGCGGTCCATTAGAGGCGATACGATTCCCTTACGAGATTTACTTCATCTATGGTAGTTCTAAACGGTTCCACTGCCTTATAGACGATCATCGGAATATAAGACAGTGTCCAGTAGAAGGCAAACAGACTCCCTGCCGATGCTCATTGGTAGAAACCGCCCGTGCACGGCTTGTTTGCTCCTACAGGTCACTAAGACAGTGTTTGATTTTGAGCACTTCCATGTTTTGTGGTTAGGTGTCTGATGTTGGCCGCGTTTTGCTACTTTTTACCATGGCAAGATTTTTCGTCGAGATTATCTGACACAGCTATACCTTTTGAATGGGGAAAAATCGTCCGAAGAGCCAGTCGCCGTACTTCCAAAGTATTGATGATGGTCTTGCCTGGCTTTGTGACATGAAGCAGATCTCTGTGGGGCTTTCTGAGAAACAGCATATAACGATGTACTTCTTAGCTTAAGGCTGCATCATGCTTCAGGTTCATCAAGCTCCGAAATTCTAGTAATGGTTTGTAAGGAAGTCTTCAAAATCTTATTCAGAAGTGGAGTTTTGATAGAATTTTCTTGTGGTAACTGTGATCGCGTGAAAAAAACAGTTACCTGAATTGGTTTTTGGATATACTTTAAAGCTCGATCCGTCCGAATTCCGTGTTAGCCTTGCCAGCATATGCGACTAAATCACAAGTCTTTTAAGCCCTTTATCAGACTCGAAAAGAGAACTTGATTTACAAAAGGCTTTGTAACATCCAGACTGAATTATCTGATGTGTTGTTTGCTTTCGTGATGTCGTACTTTTCAGGACTCTTCTTTACCGACCAAGTTAACTAGAAAAAACCTTACAAATTTCTAAAGGGTGCGAATTTCCGGATACTTTTAATTGCCTGGTTTACTGGTGATACACCTAGTTACGTCATTGGGAGGCTGATTTTTGCAAAGGAAGCGTTTCTAGTCGTCTAATTTGGGTTATTTTTTGTTGCTGCTGAGTAGTGATTGCAGCGGCTCTATCGAAGTCAAAATTGTGTCCATAAGACACTACATGTTTACGGAGCTGGAGTAGCAACTCTTAAGGTCGTGAAGGTTGAAGAATCACTTGATAAATGAATGTCTCTACTCCACTCCGTCAGTGAGTTCTGCGTCTGAGTGTGAAAGGTGGTGAAGCCCCAGATCAGCAGCTCGTGCATGACTGGCTGCTTTGAGCGAATTTCCTGGTTAACTAGCACATGCGTTTGTGCAGCCACTTGGTCCGAATACAATCTTTCAAATAAGAACGTGGCCGTCTAATTTTTGCCATGAAAGCTTGAAAGCGCTGGGCGATGGATTTAAAATTCTTCCCTTTTGACAGCGGGTCTGAACAAGTTTGCTCGTTTGGCACGTTCAGTGACACGAAATCGGACGATGCTGCAGCAGGTGGCCACCGCGACATCAACACCGCAACCAAACGCAGTAACCACACCGGATTGGAACCTGCTGACCCCTGAAGTGGCAGACAACCGACATGGCCGTGCTTGCACCCCTTCCTCCGCTCGCACGCCCTCGTCACATTCTGGCGATGAACACGGCATCCTTTCCCCTACGCCCAAGGCTCAGGCCGATCTTGAAAAGGGCACTGCGGTAAGTGCCACCTTAACCTAAGTTTTCCATGTATCTATTCAAATATCCATGTAGTCTACTCCCTATTTATCTATTTTATTCACGATCAATCCTTTAATCCATTCAGTGTGCCATTTACGTACCTCTATCCGTAAATCATGCTACGCATCCGCCTTTCCATTCATCCACTCCATCTTTTATCAACTTATTTGTCAATTCTTCTATTTATCCATCTATTCACCGTTGACCTATCTATTTGTTCATCTACCAGTTTGCATACCCATTCATCAGCACCTCCACCTGTTCGTCCAGCGATATTTTTTCACATCCACGAGTACATTTTTTCATTGTACTATCGATTCTTCCGTCCATCTATCTTCCATTCTTCCATTCACTTATTTTTTCAGTCATCTAGATCTCCATCTACAAATTCGACCGCATTCATTCTTGCACCTATCTATCTACCAAGTCATTCCTTTATCCATCAACCTGCTTGTTCACACTTGCAGCTGTCTATTTATGGATCTATATGCCTGTTGATCCACGAAACCAAGCCTTTGTTTATTCTTACACCCAACTGCAGACTCACCCATCCGAATAATTCATCTTTCACTCTACTCCTAAATCCATCCATCTGGCCATCCATTCGCCCCTCCCATTCACGCGTCCATCCTGATCTTCAACACTCTGGCCGACTATTAATCCACCTGTCAAATCGCCTATCTGTCCATTCGTAAATTCATCCTTCTATCCATCCCTCTGTGTATGTGTCCTTTCATCCATTTGCGATTCACTCATCTATTTGTCAGCTCATCCATCCTTATATCCGCATATTTTCCATTTCTCTGCCAGTTCGTCCATCCAAAGACATCCGTTCTGTCCCACTTATACTTCCGTCGTCACAGACTTTCATTCTTCGCCTGGCTACCGCAATCGACTTCTTTTAGCCTAGCCTTAGTTTCACCGCTTAGCGAATACTTCAGTCCTATAACTACAGAAATGAATAGTTATATCACCTCGTATTCCTCATTTCATTGTGTGCTTTTAATCCTTAGCTCCTACTGTCTTTGATTTTATTCCAGACATGGAGATGGTGTTTGGTAGACGATGTCCGTTCTTTCCTACTCAACAGGGTTATTAAGCACTGAGAAAGGAGAATGGAAAACAATTCCTAGCCCCTTTTCAGCAGTGGAGATCAATCAAAAATGACTGATGAATGAGAAAGAACACATGAATTTCAGGATTGCAACCATAATGCCGGAAAAAGTTGTAACTTTAACAGTCACTCTTTCGTGGGTGATCCACGCTTCCTTTCAAATGTAGCTGCGCTATTTTCACAATAAATGTAAATAAACTGTGAAATTTCCCATGCATAGCTTATTAAAGTAATATTGTACCTAACAAAAGAAGTCATCAGTCTCACTCAACCCTTCCACGATTTCGAAGTATATGCCTCATACCTAAATGTGTGGGAGGCTATCCAAACAGGCTATAGGGGAAAAGTATTAGATTAAATTTAAGGGCGGCTTATTTATCAGTGGATGTCTGAATCAGCCTTCAATCCCTACTTTTCAATAACTAACTTTAACAACGCTGAGTTAGTGGGATATCAAAAGAACTAAAGTGTCCCGCTCTATCCATTCACTATCACCCAGAGCAGACGATGTAAACTAATTGCGGCAATATTCGCTCGCCACAAATAAGCTAGGGTGTTTAGTTTTGGACCTCTAAAATATATACAAAGTAGTCCGTAGTTTTGGTATCGCATAAAAAAATCTCACCGTAACAGAAACTCATCCAGTTTGCATTGCACTATGTGGGTGCATTTTTGATGGTCTAAAGATTCTTTCCAGAGATGGCGTCTACGACAATCGTCGGGTTAGATGCTCGTGCATTGGATGACAAAGTTGCTAACATGCATAAGCAGCAAATTTAAGCCTAATCAGAAACGAAAGTTTTGAGGGCAAAACGCGACTTTCAGGCCTAGTCCGTTTTATGCGCAAGGCTGGCGTCACTTTCGAAAGCAAAGTGATGGTCACTACGGTCACACCTTTAAAATAACAAACCTCCCCATAGCATTTGAGGATAGCTCTAAGGAGAGCGGTTAGCTGCATCTAGAACCCATTAAAACCATGATGATGGGTCTCGTTTCATTACAACATTGTTGCCTTTCCTACAAATATGGAAGGCTTTCAGCTTCATTTGGGAACCATGAATACAGGGCATTGATTGAGGCATAAAGGCATATAGTTCAAAAAGCATCCACTTATTAATCGCATAACAACTATTTGCATAAGCACTCACAATGTATTGGATTGACGCTTCTAGAGTTGTTACTTAGCAAGATCCGCTTAAGATATTATGTCACTCGGAATTCTCAAAAATCAGGGGCCTTTAAATGCTATAAAAAGATTAGGCTTAGCAAAGGGAGGTCTAGTCGAGTGGAACTTTGGAGTTTGTAACAAAAAGAGAACAAATTTAAAGAGTGCAATCGTTATGTGCTTCTCCACACATTCCTCTGCTGCATCCAAGGCTAAGCTAATACTCGGGAAGCTTCAGCGTAGACTGATCACCGGTGTGGCTACTGGTCCAGATCTAACATGTTTTTTGTCTGCTAGTGCAGGTAAAAGAACATAATTGTCACTGACTACCTGTGTGCCGTATTGTCACGTGTCACGTCTACTTATACCGGTAAAATTAAGTCTTGGGTGGAGGTAAAGGTCAATCTCCAGCATTGCTGAACAGTACTCATGTGTCTAGAATTTGCTTAAGAGATGTTCCATCAATGCTAATTTATTTATACTTTACTTCCACTTTAGACCTTTGCGTCATGGATGGACGTGGTTCCACCCTACAAGCAGGAGGCGCCAAAGACCCCACCCCACGTGATCCTGCACTACGTGGCCTTCAAGACCGCCTGGGATTGGATGATCCTCTTTCTCACTGGCTACACTGCTGTAATGGTCCCATTTAACGCGGCCTTTCGCAGCAAAACCATCGATGATGTCATCTTCCTCGTCATTGACAGCATCGTCGACGTCATCTTCTTCATCGATATTGTACTGAACTTCCATACGACATTCGTAGGACCTCAGGGGGAGGTGATTTCCGACGCCACTGTTATTCGCATCAACTACCTCAAGGGTTGGTTCATTGTCGATCTCCTCTCCTGTCTCCCCTACGATGTCTTCAATGCCTTTCAGCCGGAAGCAACTCAGGTCACTCTCCACTACCGGACCCCTTTTCTCGCTGTGATTTTAGCTTAGTAATTTCATAACAAATTATGTGGAGTACGGTAAATTCAGATAAACGATACTATCCACTTACTTTGCGCCAAAGTTTCATACTCTGGGAGTAAATTTCAACCGTTTTTGGTGGCAAAGTGTATTTTAGTAATATTTTTCGGCTTCTTTAGAAAAGTCATTCACTAATGGTTTTAACAAGTTCTCTATTAGCGCTACACATGCGTGACGCACCGACTCATCTGACCTGGCGTCTTAGATGTTTTTTGTGTGAGGATTTTACAGAAGTATTTGAAGCAGTAGGAAAATTCATCCCAGTGTTACTGTGTCAGAGCACTAAAACATCTGCGGTGGTCAACGTTTTATGTAAAGAGCCCTTAAAGTGCTCTTACTGAAAATACTTTCAAGAAATTAAGAGAAATTCGACCATGCTTTATTCAAGGTTTCGTTTTGCGACTTTGGAGCTCCAGTTTATGGTTCAGTTGCTGGCATTGGTTACACACGCACTAGCAAATACTGCTTCATCTATTTCGGTATTTCGCTGATGGTTGTTCATTATCTTGAGTCCATTTATCCTGGTATTGCTAAAAAAGGCGAAATAAAATTTGAAAGATTACTAGGTATATTTTGTGATCGCTACATCTACTGTCTCTATAATCCGGGTACTCCAAGACTTTCGAAGTGGTTTTAAAGGTGTAGGTGGTTTTGGTTGGCATAATAAACAGAAAAGTACATGCATTAAGATAATGTTGTCGATCCCCATTTATACTTTTTTTGCAGAGCACCATAAGCTCTCTGTTTAGTGCATTGAAAGTGGTTCGTCTGCTGCGAATCGGCCGAGTGACGCGAAAATTGGACCAGTACCTCGAGTACATGGCGGCCAGTCTTTTCCTCATGATATTCGGCTTCGTACTCCTGGCTCACTGGCTTGCCTGCATTTGGTACAGTATCGGCATGTCCGATCTGGAGAACTTCATTCACTACGGCTGGATCCCCCGTCTCTCCAGTGATATTGGCCTTACTAGTAAAAATTACAGTCTTTTCGACGCCAAGGTATGACCTCAAGAGCTGTCATTTGCTACTCCCCATTTATCGATTCACAAGTCCACCCAAAGTTTCCCCTCTTAATTTGTGCAACTACTTTGGAGAATGAAGATGGGAATGAAAGAGATAAGGGTCGTAGGTTTAACTTTTCTTTATTCCTGCAGGCATTTCAAAACACAGCATTACAAAAGTAGCTCTATTATAAACTAATAGGACAGGTGACATAAGTGGGTAAGTATCCCACCATCGTGTAAGCCTAATCCGACCTTTCATTTTCCAAAGTTGTCCTTGTAGTAACGTTTCTTTAATTAATTTGCAGTCAAATTTGAGATCGAAACAAAGAGGATACCTGGGAATTGGTTTCAAAGTAGAAATGCTTCTTATTCCGTTAATGTGATCTAGGAGGAGCTCGAAAGCATGAACAAAATAGTTGATAGGTTCCAAAGACTCCCATTGTTTGATGCAAAATTAGATCAAACATCAGCCCACTGCATTTCAACAGCTAAGGCGATATTCAAATGCTTCAAACGCATCGCAAGAGAAAGTTTTACAGCATTTTAGCTCTATCTTTTTACGCCTTTTTAAATCCAACTCAGATTTAATTTTTTGAGGTGAATTGCTCGCAAGGTTTTTTTCACCTATTTTAGTGTATTGTTTGCCCCACATTCACTGAATCATGCTGACTTGATGAGGGCGAGAACTGGCCAATTTTAGGGTTAGTCCGTGTGATAAGCGAATGCGGCCAGATCAAAGTATTTTCCCCGTTCAAAGTGTGTGTAAAAATTTCCAGCCCGTTTTGCGCTTCTGCGTCATCAACCCTGTCTAATTCATGCAGAATAATGGCAAGTAACTGCGGTGCTAATGCGCCAGCATTATCGATGGGTAACACTGCAAATGCAGTCCTTTAACCTTGAAAACACAGTCAGATCGAGGTCACGACTGTATCATAAGGCAAAATTTTCCACTTAAGTATACCTATTTAACCATTGCTATTTCACAATGAAATCCGAATTAGCTGGGCGGTCACCGGATTGGCGTGGGCATGAGTAACGCCCATCTCTCACATGTACACACCCACACATGCATGCGCCGTTATCCCCGTGAGTCACAACTGTAGCTACTATTACCGGATAACCCGCCCATGGTGCGTGGCATAAATTAAAGCCGATTTGGGAAGACCTGCAACCTCACACCCTAACTGCCACTTTATTTATCTCATGGGTAATGGAGAAAGGATCAACGCGCAATGCCACCTCCCAGTGGTATGATCAAATGACCCTTTTGGGAATCGAATGACTTACGGCTTGGATCGTCTCCCTAGCAAAATACGATAGTTTGCACCTTTTCCCTGATGAACATCCTTCCAGGTTGGTAGTTGGAATGATGGCAAATGAATGATTGTATGAATCCCTACTCTAATGACAGATACTAACAGGTGATAAAGTAAAACACATACATGGGATTTAATAGTTTGATTTGACTTATCTATGGTCAAATCAATAGGAAAGTGGTACCTTAGTCACTTCCTCCCAGTCTTCGTCCGAAACCAGTTAGAATGTATTACAATGCATTAAAAGCAGCGCGCAGCACAAAATATTAATGACCTTACCGACCGCCGTCCAAAACAGAGCGAAATTTTAGTATTTTCGGGTTTAATGTGTAAGCGTTTCAAGGCAGCGATGTAGTTAGTTTCTTGAAGCGTTCGGATTTGACTGCAGAACACGAGGGAGATAATGATGTGCTGCTAGCTGTGAGGGGAACAACATTTTAAACCATTTTTCTCGTTTAATGTAATGCGCCTTCCTTATGCTAAAATAATTTATCTGTCTTTTTGTGAAAGAACATCTCAGTGTCGAGGTCCATGACCTACATCACAGCCTTGTACTACACCCTTTCGCTAATTACCAGTATTGGATTTGGAAATGTCTCCGCAAACACCTTCGGGGAGAAGATTGTCTCCGTTATTTTTATGCTCATTGGCGGTAAGTTCAAACTGCTAGTGTCGCTGAAGCTCCTCTCACCAAGTATTCGCATGACTGCTCGCTTATGTGTAGCCAGATCAGACACTTCCTAAATGTCGATTCAGTAATCAAACATTGTTAACGTCGGTGTAGCGAAACTTTGTCTGTAGATACCACCATAATTACTGAACTTTTAGAAATCACTGCACAATGAAGCATAACTCATAGTGATCAAATGATGCATTAAGCAAACTTTCGGTACCGCATTATCGACACGAAGTTTACCTAATTCTGATCACTGCTGGATAGAATCTAAACATGCACTCAGCACAAGGCATGCATTTTCTCCCTTTAGCTTTCAGTTACGCCACTATTTTCGGTCAGATTACAACAATATTTCAGGGAATGTACGCAGCTCGCTCAAGGTACCACGACATGATGGGATCGGTGAAGGACTTCGTGAAGACACACAATGTACCCCAGGACCTAGCAGAACGGGTCATCGACTACGTCACGTCCACATGGGCCATCACAAAAGGCATCGACACTGCTAAGGTAGGAAGGCCATCTCCGTGTGTATCCGCAAGAGTGTCCCTCATGTTTTACGGATTCTAGTTGAAACAGCCTCCTTTGGAACAGTAAAAATTGTGGTATTTACTGAAATCAAATGTTTGAAAAGTCAAGCTTTTACTGAATCCGAAGAGGTCATAACTGTCTTAACTGGCTCCCATTTGAAGTGGTTATAGTAATTTCTTTATCTACCGAAACATCCTATCGCATAGCCTTCTGGCGATCGGGATCTTCAGCACATTTTGACATCATGAAGTCAGCTTCATTATTATTGCCTCAGCCTAGTGGAGAGTTCTGACATGTGATAAGATACTCATTCCCCATTTAAAAGTACCATTTTTTTCCAAAATAGAATAAGTATAACGAGTTTTGCATCTTTTCGAATGAAAAATCCTTAACATGAGTGATGAACTCAGTAACTATTTGTCTGGCTATCTTTCATTAAATCCAATTGGATGTGTCTCTTCACCAGATCACCGAATTTGATTTCACTGCTACGAAAATCAGATTATCCTCAAGTGAACACTTTACTAGCTTTCATGGTCACTATTTAATGAATTCACTCGAAGACCGTCCAAGCGAATCTCGCGGGGCATAACTTTGTGCTAACGCTGTTAAAAGTTAACTTTGGTACTGGACCGTTTAATTTCGCGCCCAATCCACAGACTGATTATTTCTGCACCACAAACTGTAGGATTCACTTTCATTTAGCAAAAGCCGAAAGTGGAATTGCTTAAATATAAAAACCTGAAGACATAATATTGGGCTGGAAGTCTACTGGCACGGCACGGAAGCCATGCCTCCCACCGGAAGCGCAGAGGCAGAGCCTGAAGTGCCTGCGAAACCAAAGTGAAATGCTGAACCAGTAATCCAATTCCTAAGTCACACAATCTGAGACTAATACTACCTAAAATTCTGACGCAGTATATAATACGTCTTACTGTGGAAGTATTCCTGGATCATCATAAATTGGGCAATTTAGATGGTGAGGATGTTATTAACCAAAATACACTCCATCCATCATAAGCCACTCTGCCATTTTATGCGACCCGGAAAGGAGCTGCTAAACACCCGCGCATTCTGTTATCCAGTGCATTTTAGCCCGAGCTTTGTTGGAATTCCAATATTCACGACAATTCACGAAACATTTGAGCTCAGAATTTGTTGCTGTATTTTTAGTGTCGCTTTGATGTCAACCTGCCAACCAGTTAAGAGTGTTTAAATTGCTATAATTCCATATGTTTAATCAATTTTTTGTGGATACTAAGTTAAAAAGCACAATTTATTACCATTGTAAATATTTTTATAAAGCCACTGAAGCGTAAATTTGTTCGGTTTTTAAGCTGGCTACTTGCAAACACGTATGGTAAGAAAACAGAACGGATTTTTAAAATGAGAAGACCAAATTTTATACATGTGATGGTCTCGATTCACTTTCACAATAATGAGACAAATGTGACTACTCAAAAAATACTCTTCAATTTTAATGGGTAAAAAAAAGGGGAAATTCGCTTCATTGCCAAAACTGCCTCCACCGCATAGTAATTCCCGTGTTTGAAATAAAACTTCCAGTTCTTTCAGAGGATGTTTTTTTCGCTAGCTTCAACACGCTTAGTACTTCAGCCTTTTGTTATGGGTGCAAATGTCTCGGCGCTGTTTTTAGGTCTTTCGTCTTCCCGAGGTCTAATTGAAAGGTCCGCTCTTCTTACCGTTGGTGGTGGTGGTGCGATTCACATTCCCAACATGACAATTACATCTCTCCTTTTTCATCATAAAACAAGTTAATGAAAAACTACTTGTGTTCGGTGAAAGAGGCGTTGAGAAGGCTTGTGCAACCGGTGTTTACGGAGATGCTATTTATGGGCACATTTTAAGTGGGGAGGATTTTTTCAAAAAAAGCTTTTTAAAGTACAGTATTTGAGAGGCAATTAATCATACCCTCGTTATCGTGGTAGCTGGCATTTTAACCAAGGTGCTTGAACGGAGAGAATCTGGAACCAAAATAAAGCTACCAACAAAATGATATGGATGATCGTTTTCCGTGAAAAGTACTGATGACTTTATCCTAAATTCATGCTCCCTAATAGATGTGGGATCTTACTGACCTTTAGTGCAAGACAATTTTTGACATCATAATTCCTATCGGGTATTTTGACAAATGAGTTAAAAACTCGTTCTCTTGTTGAGACAGGGAGAGACCTGTCTTGAAAACCGATATGATTCATGAATTTCTCATGTCACCGCTCCACTGTGTATGCAAAAGGGAGGGAAACGCAAATACACCCCACTAGGCAGAGTTGATTTGCATTTTGGTTCATGAATTGAAACACTAGTTATTTTGGCTTTGCGTCGGAGGCCATTAAATGTTGGGAACTACTGCAAGACCACAGGTATTAGTGAGTTTTTGAAACTATCAAATTCTTGACCTTATAGTTGAGTGCGTTCCTCTCCTAACAACTTAGTGCTGTTCACTTACCGCAATTGGCTTCACTTATTATGAGATGTTTCCTGAGGAGGTACTCGTACTCCCTATTACAAATGGAATTCAACAGCTTCTTTAAAAATTAAGACATTCAGGAGAAGGAAATATTGCTATTTTTAATCTACACTTTTACTACCACCTTGTGCTCTACTTAAATTTATGCTGTCCTCAAACCGAGAAGATTCTACATACGTTTTGTCGTTTGAATCCCATTCAATCAATGGGTTATCGTAAAGTGATAGGAGCGCTTGCCGCAAGCATTTTTGAACCTTACCTTGGATAAGACAGTCCAAGTTTCAGACGTGTGACATTGGCGGTGAACTCGTTATCCTGGCTTGCGAAGTTTTAGCGCTCTGAGCCACCCAGCAACAAAAAGGTGACTGGAGTTGAAAAGAATCGCACTGACGCGACGATGAATATTAAATGTGCTTGCACGACAGGCGGACCACACGGATATCCAATGTCGTCCCAAAAAATATTCCGCCAAGGCGGAAAAATTGAACACGAACGGTGGTGATGTGGCAAGAAATGAAGAACCGCAATTTCAACCACTTTGATTTAGGCGTTTTGTTATTGATCTGAGGAGGACAATGCAGACCGCAACACAACCTTGCAAAATAATGCCTCTTTGAATTTTAAAGTTGACAGTTGAATTAAGAATCACTTTTACTGACACGATCAGACAAAGCACAGCCAGCTGAATGGAAACGCAGTGGAGTACTTTTTGATTTCAGCAGTCTTATAGTTCAGGTTATAGCAAATATCAGCAACCCTGCGAGGCCACTTATAAAATTACACTGTCGAACCTCTAAGCCATTGTGCACCATCTCAGTCCAAAGTTAAGTAAGGATAGTTTGATCTAATAATCCCACTGTCATAAGCAGCATGCGCATTACCTGAGATATTTAGTAAAGGTTTTAGCTCTCAAAATCTAACTCGAAACGGGCTTAAAACGCAAGGATTAAAATAACGTTTTTTTTCGACCAAACGACTCATTCTTCTCAGAATCCCATTTCTCCCAGAATATCTTCAGCGAAAGTAGTGTGGAAGTGGTTTGGGAGAGAACAGATTAAGTTTTACTGCTCTGTTGAGTTGGTATCAGGCATCATCTACAACTGCGTTGCTTCCATTAACACCTTTAAATCATTAAATGGTCAAACACTACTGACACGAAAATAGGTCAATTTTACTCCTGAAGTTCACCCAATGTCATTTAAGCTATTTGTCCTTCCCAAATCAAAAATTTGTTTAATTGGATGGATTAAAATTGGTCTAAACTTCCTGCTTCTAAAAAGGATTATTAAAACATGCAGGGAAAAACTCCTGACAAACCCGGATGGAGATTTGTTGTTAGCTCCAATGCTGTCGCTGCCGCATCTGCGACATCGTCACTTTGTCGCTCCTTCGGGTGGCCTCCCCATACTGTAGCTAGTTCAAAGCGCAGACTGCAGGGAAAGTTCGAGTAACAAATTACCCTACCTCATTATTTGTAAGCAAAAAGGCATTTAAAATTCTTATTTTGTGTTTCAACATGTCTATTCGTGCAAACAAACCACACTCGAGAATTCATCGTCTGCCTTGATTCTTGGAATACTGATTTCATTTCCAAACAAAGTTTTGCAGAAAGCCATTCCATTGAGATTTGATCTACGCGGAGATTTACTGTGTTGAAAGTAATTTGTGCACTATGTTTATCGTTTCTAAGAAAAAAACAAATGAACCGCAACACTTTTTTTCACTGATTTTGTGCTGGGTTTACTTTTCGCATACGAACTTGGCATTTACCATTCTTAAGAAGCCTTGCCCAACTGCCTTAGCTACTTATTGAATTTAAAAAATCAGTCTCATCTAGGTTTACAAAATAAGAAATGCTTTGTGGAGAATGATATAGTATGCTTAATCTTCTGCACAATCCCCTTCTATTTTAATACTCCCACCCTAGGTCTGTCCCGGGAGAGCCAGTCTGTCTTGGTAACCCAAGATTAGACATCCGCAGGCTTGGTTTTTGGTTTTGGATGCTTTCACTCTCAAATACCTCATTCAGCACCACACTCTACGAGCACGTACTCACTCCTACTGCAGCCTGCCATCCTGATTACCAGTGGGTGGACTGACACACTGTATATGCGTCGATTAACGGTGATAGGGAACGCTCACTGCTTACTGCTGTTGCCACTAGTGTCAAGGCACCATCCCCAATAGAATCAAATCTACCAGTCTGACTTAGATGTGTCAAGTTTGCACCTTCAGTCATAAGCCTGAAATTGAGCAAACCCGGTGGTCAAAAGGTTGTGCCAATTGGCTACCTGCGGCGCCAATCCCCGGATGCGGGTGTGGGCTTCGCTTCTGTGATGCGTAGCGAGGTCTAACTAGCCACAGCTGAATATCCATGTCTGTCTCTCCACTCGCTGAGAAGCAAGGCTTATCTCTCTAACTTCCACGGAAACACGGGCAACACTTATTATGGTGCTTTAAGTGGGCTCAATCCAATATACAAATGACAGCTAAAACGAGCGAACTTGCACCGGCTTAGTGGTATGGTTTAAGCTCACGAAGTCGCATCTTTTAATGACATTCGTAATGTCCGATCATTCTTGTCCCTACAATTGTCACACCTTTAAATCACAGTGGCGAAGTTTACATTTACTTCAAATTAATTTTAAATAATTAATTGTCCCTTAATGAATATGATCGTGAAATCTTTTATTCGTACTAACTTCACCAATTAAATTGATTTGACCCGGAACTTGCTACTGCAGTGAGCGATTTTAAGCTTCCATTGAGTCTGTGGTGGTGTATTTTTACCATTTTTACAGTGGAGAGCAGCTCAATGCTTGAGGTACGTGAGAACCTTGAAAAGCACATTTTCTCTGGCAATTAATTGTGGAAGTTGGCTGTACCTCTTTCCGGAAATTGTAGCTGTCACTTTGTCAACATTCATTGATCAAAATGTTGACAGGCTAACATCTTTGAATTAGCGTCTATGGGATACCACTTTATCTAAACTGAGTAAACAGTTGAATGCTTTATTTAGTATCTATAATTACCAAACGTCGTTACCACTGCTACCGTTTCATCGTTTCCTCCTACAGTGCCTTACTTTACAAAGAAGGTCGTTCGGTAAGTGCGGGCGTTTCGCAGTTAGTTGCTTTTTTTGAAACTGTAAGCACCGTGTGCCTAAGTATTTCATTCATCAACAGATATCTTTTTGTTAACTTTGTAGTGGCTTCATGCAGCATTATTGTTCGTAGAGTGCTCCACACATGTGTGTAGCACCCTTAGACTTCCAGAAGAGTTGCGCCTACTGATACGGACTAGAGGACGTGTCGGCCATCGGAAGTGCAAAAGCTTAGGCTTTAGTGTCCGCTAAATTAAAACGACGAGTTGAATGAGCAATAGAAGTAGTACATAGTCCCCAGCTCCTTTTGAGCGTCCTCCCTGCGCTCCCCTTGGCCAACTTCCTGCGTCGGCCATTACAGTGTGGTCGGTGCTGTAGGTAAAACACTCACGAAACAACCGCACCAGTCATCGAATTTGCACGCAACTGAGCAGATATATGATTGCAACATTGCTAATTTACTCTTGACAATTCCACTGGAATGGTAGTGGGAATGAGAAAATGTGCTGACCATCTCGTATGTCCATCGCTAGGCGTAAGAACACTGGCCTAAAAGCAGCGACACTTAATAAAGGGCAAAGTTTAAAGCACTTTCATTGGGTAAGATTTCGCGTCCGTTTTTCCTTGCCAGCATGTTCTCACTTCAGTGCTATCCAGCCATATCTATCTATCTTTCAATCTTGGTCTCATGCAGCCAGTGGGAAGGTGGAAGAGCTATCGCAAGTTCACATAATTAATATAGCTATGCAGGTTCCGTAGCCAGGCCTGCAACGAACTTTACCATATGGTTCATGGCTATTGTCGCCTCAGCTGTTTTTAGCATTCCTGCAGAACACGGGTCTAGGGTAGACTCCGAAGGTAGACATCATTTTCACTCTTTCTGCTGGGAGTCGACACAGATTCTTCTATTCGTGGCGCGTTCCGTTCTTCAACCACATTGAGGTTTGACTCTCAGTTATTGAATTCAAAACAGTTGTCCTCTGGGATGGGGTTTGTTTTTCGCTGCCATTATTGTAGAGCCCTAAGCCTATCAGAAGAACTGTGACTACCGGCATGCCCTGGAGTCCATGCTGTTCAGCGAAGTAGAATCCTTGAACCTTAATCGCCTGTGAAGCTAAAACAAAGAGTTAAGCTAACAATTCAAACATTAGATTTTGTACACATGTACACGGCTTAATTGAAAAGTAACTTGTGCCACAAATATGGTGTCAAACCAAAATCTATGTATCCTTTGGAAGAATTGTTACAGGGTGTGTTAAAAATAGAACATCATGGCCTTCTCCCATAAAATTGGCTTTGACTGAATTCGTCAAATGCACAACTTAATTTCTCTGTCATTTGAGGCTGCTGTAACGCTACTCTTCTCTAGGAGTTAGGCTAACTCATAATGTTTGGACTCGTGGGCGGGCTTTCGCACAAACTCTGGCGTGTTTTTTACAATATTACCATGTACGTCACCAAAAGCTGGCAAGTCTATAATACGATGAGTACGAGTTTTTTATGGCTTAACTTAGCAACTGTATCAGAGCCCACTCCAACAGCATTCTCACTTTTCTTCACACACAGAGTCCCCAGCTATTTATTTGTCCTTTGAGGTAATGAAACACAACAAGTAAAATGGATGGAAAGGAATAACCTATTAAAACTTTGAAAAACACGTCATTTTTTTTTATTTTTAATAGGTGACCACCTTGATGAAGCTAAATCCTCCACGGCTATGAAACTAAACTTTTATTTGGGAGGAAACTTTATTTCCTAATGAGAAATGGTTGATTTTTTCATGACTTAAAAATTGCTGATGATAATTCAGCGAGCCGAGACTTTTCTGAAGAAGAAAGAAGATACAATACTCAGGCAGAATCTGTGTTGTCGACCTGCAGAAGGTCTAGGGGGCTACCAGCGTGGCCCGGAGGCCAGGCCGCCCTGCAGAGGTATAGTGGCGGAGCCCCAGGTGGCCCATCACCAGAACCAAAGGTCAAACGGGCAGTTGAAGTGTTACAGTGATTCTTCATGTAGCGTCATATTTTAAGACCTCTAAAATTTGCGTTTTTTCTTCAAATATTTAGTGGCGTATTTCGATCAGTAAGAACACTTGATACAAATTACTAATTAAGAAGTGTGGGATTGGGTATTCAACATACTGCAAAAGTTATATGCAGGAGACGAATTTAGTTTTATACTCACAGCATATTAAGAATCGCCTCGCAATAGCGCAGCCCCCTTCACTGTTTCGTTTTTATATGCTGCAAAAGGAAACCGACCGAGGTAAATGGGCGTGTTCCGGATAAGCCCATATTAATTTTTAATGCACAAATCATTTCTGGGCAAGCGAGTTCATAAAACCACCGGTGGATGATTTCTGCTGCAAAATAGTGTGTTTTTACTTAGGTGTAGAACCTCCAGGGAAAACTGTCTGCACTGCAACCTTCAGTGCTGTTTCAAGGCGTATGCGAATATTTCGGTGGCTAAAAACCACGCGTATCCTTCATGATAACGTGCCTCTTTGAAACCGAAGTTTTTCCATCGTCGTTTTGAAAGAAGAACTCCCACCAACACATGCTTTACTGTTATTTTATCTCTAGGTGTTTTTGGCATTCGAAAATGATAACGAATTCGCTAACATCATTCTGTACAGGTGCTCAACTACTGCCCAAAGGACATGAAGGCGGATTTATGCATTCACCTGAACCGGATGGTCTTCAATGAACACCCAGCCTTTCGTCTCGCCTCGGACGGATGTCTGCGATCATTGGCAGTCAATTTCAACACCCTTCACACCGCTCCCGGTGATTTAATTTTCCACCAGGGCGAAAGCATCGACCAACTCTGCTTCGTTGTCACAGGATCTCTGGAGGTCATTCAGGATGACGAAATCGTTGCTATTCTCGGTTAGTGACTTTTTATCTTCTGTGTTTTTATGATCCTACCATTCGACTATGAGCAAGCAATTCGGCATTCTGTCATGGAAAGATAGAGTCGAATGCAATACTCAAAGGGACTTTCTTGACTTCTATGATTAACGTAAAATGCCCAGTCAATAGCTGATTGGCGAACCACCGAAAGCAAGTTGAGGTTTTCAACATTTTTCATACATTTTTTACAAAGAGATATTACGGCGATCAGAGCAGCCATAACCAATTTCGCATGAGCTTTAGATATAACCGCATTCTAAAGGTGACTGGAACTATGAGGTTTTAAATCATTCATGCCGGATAGTCGGTGAAATCTCAAAGAACCTACCGGAGCTATCTTTCACTTCCTCTTCTTCATCCTCGTTCTATTAAACATTAACAATGTTCATTAAATTTACTGCTAAAAGTACAGTGTACTCATAAAGTTCATGGTGCAAAAAGAAGTTGTAAAATTGGAAATGGGTGAAATGACAGTACGAACACCAAATCTGTCGACGACACTTTGATATTGGAGGGATAACTTTCCTAACAAGTTGTACATTATTCTTGTTTGTTCCTTCTGTTTCAAGGGTGAAACAGGAAATATTGTAGAGGTCAGCTGTGACAGGCCATGGATCTTTAGGCTGTGGAACCTCGAACTTACTTGTCCGAAGTATTCATTTGGATTTCAAATTAATTCTGACCAGCGTTCCGTGTATCACATAACTTCTGATAGGCATTCTATCAGAAAGACGCTGAACCCCTCATATCGGTTTGCCACTGCTAATTCACCCACAAGGTTAATAAGTAAGACTACTATTCAAGCTAATTTAAATGGACATAAGCAAGTGAAATAGTGGCATTTATATTTTGAGATGTCCATTTGGAGGTGGAGTAATGAAACCTAAGTTGCCACTGATTTCACTGAGTTGAATTTTGACGCATTAAAGTGAACAACCCATGGCCTCTTCGCAGTTATAGTTTTAACACGACGTGACACAGGAAACCCCTGTGTTATAATGGACGAATGCTCCTCCTTCTTGCCACAACGTGTTTAGGGCAGTCCCGGAAATAGCATACCGTGCTTTTGACACTTGAACCGCCATCTAGCCCCATTCACGGAGAAGAATTGTAGCCTTCGGCTCGCTTTTTTGCCTCAACCTGTACTTGTCAGACCTTCTGGAAGGCGAAATTACTAAATCGTAGCGCCTTAATTGCATTTGTAGGCGTTGTAGCACATATGCGGCTATAAATAACTCTTCTTTTGGCTTAAAAGCAGTTGAGAGACTGGGAAGATAGATGACATTGCCAGCCATGAACTGCCGAGGTGGAAGTGGCAGCGTAGTAATTACTGATAGGCCAAAAAAGAGTTTTCTCTTATCATAATATCATTATATTTTTTTCCAAACTTAGGCCTAATTTCTTAAGTTTCTGAATACTTTTTTACAATATCTTCTAATTTACGATGAGGTGGTTGTAATTTCATTTAGGCAGGAGAAAAATGCGAATTGGGATTTATTGCTGTTGAAGGTTACTCTGGCTTGTCAACTAGAAATCTTGAAAACTGCCTCCAGTATCTAAATGTACTAGTACAGCGAGTATCTGCTCCAGCAAATGAACCCGCCGACCGCAAATGGGATCATTCAACAATGTCCCTCACAATTCGAATTCCCACGGTAGTAAAGTGGTCGTAAATGCTGCTATTCGGGTTGCACAACTCCTCCAGCTGCTTCTGTTGCCACCCATTTCACTGAATTGGTCTACTTTCAGTAATCTTCACCTCTTTGAAACGTGGATACCTTGATCTTATAGAATTAGTAAATAAAGGCATTTATTTTAACTACCCCGACGAGCTGTGATGTTCCAATCTTGTGAATTTTGTGAATGTTTTCCTTATTTTGGCATTGTAATTAACCTTCCAGCAATCTCCCTCGCTTCGGTTGTAAGTAGTTCGGTGGGAGATTCAGCCTTAGATTAACGGAAATGTTCCCCTATGATCCATCGCTGATAAGGAGAGAATACTTCTATCTAACATCCTGCCGACAGGAAATATGCTACATTGAGGCTGCAGGAGGAAGGAGGATGCAAGCTAATCCCATTGCAGTGACTGGTTTATCCCATGCACCGATTCGCGGACTCGTGTATAACCTTCAGCTCATCCTCCTCAAATTATTGTCTCTAAATCAAGCAAATTCCCCATTAAAAGACACGTGTTAGGGCCCCCAATCAAGTGATCGTGACCCTTTCCATAGCGTGAGATGCTACCCAGGGCTAAAGCTCTGCTTCTTGTGTGTGAGAACACCTTTTGCGAGTTGAAACCCATTACACGGTAGGCATGCTGCTGAGAGAGACGAGGCCAGTTAAACTGTTTTGGTATTTGTACTTCCAAACAATTTTGATGGAGTTTTCTTGTATAGTTCTTCACCTCATGCTGCTAAACCGTGATGGTCGTAAGAGAACAGACGATTAAATTCATCTTAGGTTGTAAACTGTGCTACAGAGTGAGTAACTAGTACTTTGGTCAAACCTTTACACCTCTCGATTTATGTTATTTAGATGGCCTAAATACAAACTCTTGTGTACTACTGAACTAATTACGGCCGCTGTAACCTAAGGATTTAAGCCAGTCATTAGTAAGGAGGCACATAAAACTGGGGAGAAAAGAGCTGTGGATTTTACAAACAGGGCACGAAATCTTCAGCATCATTATGCAGTATGCGAAGTCTTACTGATCAAAAATCTGACATTCGATGTTTGCTAGGTCGGGGAGATGTCTTTGGAGAGCCGTTTTGGAAGGATCCCAATAGAATGAGTCACTCCTCGGCCACGGTTCGCGCCCTTACTTACTGCGATCTGCATTACATTAAAAAGGACCGCCTTCTGCATGTTCTTGACTTCTACACGGCTTTTGCGAACAGCTTCGCCCGAAACCTAGTCCTTTCGTATGATCTGAAGACACGAGTAAGTAAACCACTAGTAGTTCCGTACCAATTTCTGCGACTAGACCAAGGGGATTATGGTTTGGTCTCTAACCCACTGCATACCAAACGGTTCACTTGTCTGGCATAATACCATTTCCCATTTAAACTTTCGACTGAGCTAATTACTCTTCAAAAGCCCAAAATGTGGGGTTCTTCTTAGTCGAAGTACATCCTCCATTAATCCATTTGTTCGCAACACGTTTTATTGTGCACAAGTATCCATGTCACCTACTTGTGACTCCAGACTCGGACAAGCTAATCGGGGGTCAGTTCTGCGTAATGCTAATTCATGCTAAAGTTCATGCTAATTGTAATTGTACGGAAATTTATTTTTTATTTTTTAGTGGTACCTTGCATGAGACACATCTCCATGATCTTTAGCCATTCCCAGTACCTGGGCATCCAGTTTCACAAAACTGGATGACTGGGCTGTTAGCGTTTGCGTTTCGTGTTAACATGAAAATGAGTGTAAATTAGTTCATAATAAAGGTTTTTTTGGGGCGTAATTTGATATGAGGTATTACTTTAAGAAATACCCAATAAAAGTTTATATTTTACTCTTATTCCTCAAGTTATTTAGGAGGTAACAAAGTGTCCTAAAGAAATACTTTATTGGAAACCCTCTCACCGATTTTCACTTTTACTTTATCCAAGTTTTTTGAGAGAATTATCAATGAAGTTGATTAGGCCTTGTTACGATAAGTGTAAGGTTCATTATAATTTTATCAATTACAGTAGTTTTGGAACAAAAGCCCTGGATTAAAATTGGTTCACGAAAGACCTGACGGTGGGAAAACTAAAGCATTTTTCCTAATTAAATATCCAGTTGATATTTCGGAAACTGGAGGATGTCCGGAGGGAGCGTGAACTGGCAGAGCACAGGACCAATGAGAACTATCTCTCCGAACTGACAGCAGACCATCCTGTGAGGCGGATGATCCACCGTTTCCGCAAAATCGGCACTGCCAACGCGAATGCGGCGGCAGTGGCGGCTGCTACCTCCACTGTTGGAGGCAGCAGATGTAGCGGAGAAGGAGGCGATGGGAGTGGAGGAAGTGAAGAACGCTCTAGCCTCGTTCCCGGTGTTGTGGTTGCTCCACAAAGGAGAAAATCCATGGGAGGCCTCGAATCCGCCGATTCGGCACCCGAACCCACTCCCGCTAATCCCACCAGTGTGTGGGCTCGTCTGAGGACTGGTGGTAGCGCAGCAAGCAATGGAGGAGACGGTGGTGGTGGAGTAGGTGAGAAAAGTAAGGCGTCTGGTGAAACCCAGTCGGAGAATCTAACTCACGTCAATCCACCAACGGTGACGAATAAACCATCGTTGTCAACTACAGGTCTGAAAATGAAGCGCACCCTTCAGTCACAAACCATTGTTGAGGAAGATGAATCTGCTTCAGGGAAGGCAACTAAAGCTGAGGCATTTTCTCCTTTGTTTGAAAAGGAAATGCAATCCGTGCTGGACGCAATCAGCTCATTGCGGTCGTCGGTGATTGACGAAATAACGGCGGTGAATAGGCGGATAGATATGATTGATGACCATTTATTGAAGCTCTACGAGGCCATTGGAAAGGTAGTAGAGAACCAGAAGATACGAAATCGTCAGCCTAGTGAGTCAGACGGAACTGAGTCAGTTTCCAGCATCCTCCGACTCTTTCGCAAAGGTAGTCCTCCTACTAAGGAGCGCGTATTGCGAAAAACGTACCCCAACTTCGTTGAAATGCAGCACCTTCCTTCTTCCCATAGTAGGCGCTCGGCTGTAGCATTAGGAATTTCAAAGAAGGGTAGAGGAGTCAAGTCCTCGAAAGTTGGCCCCACGGCGACTGAGACAGAACTGATTCAGACACAAGTGGACAACCCTTTGGTATTTTATGACAGATGTGCTGACGATAGGACCTTGGAGTATCTTCCAACTTCGAAAACCAACCATTCCGCACTTCGATCCCCCTCGTATAAGGGAGGTCTTTTCACCAGTCGATCGCCAGTCCCATCCAGAGGTTACGAAATGCTCCTTGGCTCAGGAGACGGTCTCTCCTCACTTAGCACGCTAGGCGGTGACGACCAAGAAGAGGAGATGCCTTTTCAGACGCGGGCACAGTCAACACCCGCCCCCTTACAACCACAACCGCTTCTGTCACAGCCACCGCCATTGCGGCGTTCCAACGGTAGCAAATCTCTCCACACACAAGAGTCTTCTTCGCGGAACAGTGACTCCAAACGTGATACTGTGGTTCGCAGCTCTTCAAGCAAGGCTACCGGTACGGAGTATGGGAAGATATCTCTGCTTTAATAAACTTCCCCCTTCCTCAATCCTCAATTTTTTATGTACTTTTTAAGTGATCCCACGTGTGAATGCACAATGAATAATGACCAATTTACACCTGAGCTCGGATGCTTCGCTATTCTACTGAGATGATTGCGTTCTGTCGTAAGTGAACCGTGGTCATTGTTTCAGTGGTTAGATGGCTAGGTGCCTGGGAGTGTCCAGTGGGTACTTATATGACCTGTCTGGTTCCGAGGTAATTGGATTTCAAAAATCCCGTACCGCCGCAGGATATCATCGAAGACAATTTCAAAGCAGTGAAGTAATTTCTTAAGCAATATTTTTTTTCGTCTAGGCAAAATGAAAAGTGCACATTTCGATAGCCAAAAGGCCACTTGCAAGTGAAGACATTTCGAAGTGTCCCATACATTTTTCATGGAGCCGTAATAAACTTGTGTAAATCCGCAGTGTAAATTTTTATTTCTAGTTGATTTAGACGAAAAATAAAACGAAGTTTAAAGGGGTTTTATCTAATGCCTTCATTTTATTCACTTAGAACCTTTAGTGTGCGAGCGGTAGGCGAATTGTAACACCTCGACCAACCCTCAAATCCTTTTGAATCACGAAACTAAAAGCTGAAAATTCATCTCATTCAATAGCATTAGCCGTTCAGTCCCATTTGGAGCTGGTGATCACTTGTAAAAAAATCTAGATGGAATTTCTGCTTAACAAGGTACGTATCGTTATAATAGTTAACGTTTCGGAATCTAAATAAATTTATGTACTAGTTAATACATTGTTGGTTTTCTTGTAAAGTATATAGTAGGTTGTCAGACATTGGTGGGTTGTTGTAACTCTCGCTTCTGGGAACGTGCCACTCAGGTGCTCCGCCATTGTACCTCGCCAGGGGGGCTGGACTCTGGGCCACGCCAGTTGCCCCACGCCCGTCTGTACGTCGACAAGACATTTTCTGCTCGCGTATTGTCTTCATTCGTCCCCAGGGCAGCCTCGTGGTGCTACAGTCGTCTCTCCGAGCCGATAATAATGAAGGATGTATAATCTACTGCGAAATCCCATTTGCTCGTAAAGGATTAAATGGAAAGTAGGCACTAAAGGGTATTACGGAATAAGTGCTGTAAATAATTTTTTTCTCAATGGGACGCACAAATGATCCCCCAGCCGTATACTCCGTAACTTAAAAGTTAAAAGCTACAAAATTAATTTCTACCAAATGGCCATTTCTATGTGACTCAAAGCGCTCGAGAATCGCATAAAATCCATAAACGAGTGCTTTTAGACTAAAATTTAGAAAATCCTGAAATTGAAGTAAACATAATGCCATCATTCCTTTGCAGCTTGATTTAAGGGTGCCATAAATATGCCAAAGGAAGCATTTCAAAAGAAATTGGTACACTTTTATTCTTAGTGAGTGGGAAAATGCACTTGACGACGGGTTCTCAACCTCGTAAACAGCATGCTTTACGTAGCGCGCCCAATAAGTGGGACACAGGTTAGTGGCATAAATGCACATTTTTGTCAGTAACAACAAGCTGTTGGAAAACATCTACCAGCATGCATTTATTCTACGGTAGGGGAACGTTAGTTTGCATCAAAATGAAATCCTCGCTTACGTATGAAGAATGCTCCCGTGAATATCACTGCTCAAGGATATTGATGCACGATCAAACATTAAAAGACAATCAATGAAATAGTTGAACATCAAAGAAGGACTCTGTTTCTTTATGAATTCGGTAAAAGTTCTTCAGTGCGTATTCTCTCTACTAAAAATCTTCAAAAATTTGGGCCGCTTGTCTTAATATAAACAGAAATATCTCTACGCAGTCTGCATTATTATTTATCACACTAACCACCATGTTTTGCAAATATCTAACTCGTTTCTTCATATTTGATCCAAAGATTAGACGTTAAGGAATACGCCACCCCAGTGCTTTGACAACAAAATTTACAATGGGTAATTTTACCACTAGAGACTTGCAGAACTGCAAGGATAAAATAATCGCTAAGGGGTTCGTTCTCTTAAGGCACACAATCCCGATATTTAGCATGAGTTTCGGATTAATTCGGATCTACATTAATGAGTGCTGATCCAATGACCCTTCCCTACAAATGTAGTCCCCCAGGACTTCCACTAAGGTGTACTGATCCAGAGTGTAGTAGAAGAGTATATATTCCTAAATTGCAGGATGTCTTGGAGGGTATGGTTCGGAGGTCATGCAGTAGTGCGGGTAAAAGCTGTGGAGAATGTGCTTACGGCCAAAAACAATATCGAAGGGCTACATATATGTAAAAGACAAAATAAAACTAAACTGTGTCACAATAAGTACATAGCACTATAGTGCGGCTAATTAAATATGAATGTACAAAATTTCGTGGGGTCGCTTTACTAAGTTCACAATTCCAACTTTGAAATTTCTTAAAAGGCAAAAATTTGCAAATTCGATTATGCGTAGCCAAAACGTAGAGCCAAAGGTATAATTATAATTGTACAGCCAATAAAATATGAATCAAAAGCGAAACAAGGGGCATTAAAGATGCATTTCTATTTAAAAGACCATACCCGGAATGTTTTATTCTATTGGATGTTCTAGGTCATCACTGGAATGCCTGTAATCGCGCCTTGTCTGATACATCGTTGATAGTCAGTTTTCTGTCCTAAATGTCTAACAAGCCGCAATTAACGAGGGAGTCTACGATGGCGGTTACAACAAAGGTAGCTAAAGTGCGGTTTTTGTGTGTCGTTTTGTATTGTTCCCATATGACCGAAATTTCTCCCGTCTTGCAGCTGTCCGCCATATTTTTATAAATGTAGCAAAGGGCATCTACTAACTTACCCTAAATTGGCGCAGTTTGTCCATTTACGAAAAAGTAGATTACAGCGGTATGAAGTACTAATCATTGGCTTTTATACATCAAACTTCCATGAATTAATATTTGGTTGTAGGTGTGGGTTTTGATATGTAGTAGAGGTTTGAGAAGAACCCGTTCTTCATGGGGGCGGCTTTACTTTCAGGCTGTGGTAGTACAAGTTCTGTGCAAATTTTGTGATGTATTCGAGGCTCTGTGCTGATTTATTTTGACATTAGTGGCCGTAGCACCATTTTCCTGGCATTCTCAAATCATTCCCAGTTGTTTTTGCTTTCTGATCCACACTCAATCACCTTGGTGATACTGGCGCTTGTGGTGTCCCACGGCAACTCCTTACACCCGGTAATAATTTTGCCACGTCTCTGTTTAATCATTACCTTGATTATCTTTATTTACTGGAATGAAACTTAAGTTTGGATGTAGTTTTAGCACATTTTAAGACTGCTTATTTTTAATAACATCTGTTTTTTCGTCTGTTGGTATTGGCTATTCATTTTTACATTTACCTCACCAGAGGTTCCATTTCCGATGTCTCACTTAACTGTGTTTCCTCTCTATTTGAATTGGCGCGCATACTCATTTTGAATGTTTGATTATCCCAAATGTTGCCTACCAGTGTATTTCCGGCCTGAAATCACAAATGGTAAGCTGCTTCAACCAAGTCAATGCTTGATGTTTGCCTTACAATGCGGCTAGGGAGGAATTGCCGCTCGTTATATTGCTAGTTAGCAGTCCATCATATTTACCGCATTGCTCTTGGATCCTGTGACTAACCTCAGCACTGCAGGATGTGATTTTATGCACACTCTCTGTATTCCGTAGCTTCAACACATGCAATTCATCTATCATTAGGGCGTCCTTGATTTTGATTACCTCTTTGGTTTTGCTTGGGTACGATGCCTTGTACCGTCATAAGGATTCCAGTCAAGCATTGACTTCGTTGGCGTAAGTCACGAAAATTTGGAGACAGTCTACTTGTTTACTAACCCTAGAGTACTGCTGCAGTACGATAACTAGGGAGTTTAGGCAATAACTGCAAGAATAGGCCCTCTACGAGGTGTTCAAAAATCGAGTAACGCCCTCTTTAGATCATATGATCGTACAGTAGCTTAGGGAGGAACAAAAGCCAGAGCCACCTTGAAAAACTATTCACTCACTAATGCCACAACACTTTGGCCGATACGGGTATATTCCAGTAACTTGAATGGACTTGAATACCAGATGCGATATTTGTGACGCGTTTATTCCAGACAGTCAATGGTGGTCGTTTTTTTGTTACCTCTGTTAAGGCTGGCAAAGAGTTCCTCGGTGATGAGAAGCTGGGAGATACGCGTTTGGGCACGCAGTCCAAACGGACCGCCAGGAAGGCCACGTTGCGGAAGGGTCAGTCAATCAGGCGAACAATCGAAGAAGGTGGGTAAACCTGTGTTCCCTTCTTCCGTCTAAAGTTACATTTTTAGTCCCCTTTGTCAGAAGAGAAAAATCTTTGCTAGCGTTAATCGCTAATTTAACTAAATCTAAACCACTAAATTATGCTTCCATAATAATATAAATTTGATCAACTTCCGACTATCTTTACTACAGGTTGGCTTTTGGGAGTGAGTGGATCTGAAAGAGCTTGAATAAAAGTCGACTAAAGACTAATTTGCTTCTAAAATTCAGCTAAACTGTTGTTGGGCAGCAGCGCTGGTCTAGCAGACGTAAACTCGGCCCGCCAGTTGCGTAAGCACTCCGCTCCGATCCTTCTCTCAACTCCACGACGCGTGAATAAGAAGGGTGCCGGCCGGCCACCGAAGAAGGCGAAGGCAGAGACTCCTGCTGCCACTGCCACCGCTGCCGCCAACAGTGCCTCCGCAGACGGCGCCACCACCACGTCCACTTAGAGTCGCCTCTTTGTTGTTTCGGTGTGCATGCTTGCCTCACTGTATTTTATTCATTTGCACCATCATTCCCCTTATTGCAGCTGGTTTTCTGGCCTATTTTCTTTGGATGGTTACTTCGCCCTTCTCATAGACTATGTTACTACTTCGCTGTTGGCGTTTTCCTATGGTTTAAAATTGTTGGATGGAAGAAGGGAGTGCAGAGTGGCAATAAGCGTTCTTCAGCTTCCATAAGTGGAATCCACTTGAAATTGTTTGATCTTTCAGAGGTCAGGTGATGAAACCTTGGTGGTCCGGTCCACAACTCCTTCACCATTTCAGGCTCACGTCACTCCTACTCCTGGTGTAAGTTGACAACAGCCCCCCTACGCCTTTGCTCTTCCAAGCAGGACTCAAACACTACGTTATTAATACGTTCGGTCTGTAAGCCCAATCATTTAGACCCGTGTGCGAAAATTTGAAGATTATATTATCATTAGAAATGCAAGCGATGTGTAATATGTAGGCAAATGGCGAGAGGAGGCCTAAGGGAAGAGAGGGACGAGTGAGAGGGTTAAAGCGAATGCACTCCGGACACAGAGCAAGGACAATTCTTCATTGGGACATCATTACTGCCTACCTCGGATTCGCGTTGTACTGAAACGCCGTCTAGAGGGGTAGATAAAAGAAAGTGTCAGCGGATAAGCGCTTCTTCGCGGGGACACACGTCCGCATGTTTGAATTCAGTTTTAACGCCAAAATCAACTCCCGTGCCCTGGATAAAGACTAGGTATTTCAACACCGGCACCTCAGTGTGAATGAATCAGGCTCAATTTCGGTCAGTGTGTCCCACTTTTCAGATGTACCAGGCGTGCTTCCTTGCAGCCTTTTCGGTGCTACCTGGTCCAACAAAGGGCTGAACCACCGAAACCAGTAAGAACGCTTTGCAGTTTACTGCAAGTCGTCTGCACCAGCCGTGCAAAAACATACAACTAAAAAAGTGTCATGGATGTTTACGTTATTAGGGTCAACTCACTATGATTCTACTTGTTAATGTGGTCGTTCGAATTAAGGTGACTGACACTCTTGTGGATGGAGTACCGCGTTAAAATTCTGGAACCAGTCGCAATCAAGGCATGAGCAGTCAACAATCCCGACAATGATCAAGCACCCATTAACATCAGTGAGGGAGCAGTTAGGCAACCGCTTGCGAACGACAGCCAGCGTAAACCACGATCACGTGGAGGTGGCGAGGGTTACAGTCCGCCAACAGAAACGATGCAACACACCCACACCGTCACGTGATCGTGTGCGAGTTGGGGTGTGACCAACGTTGGCATGTGTGATGTCAATCAAATGAGGCTTTATTGGCTATTTAGCCGAGTATTATTGGTATCATTAGGGGACTTGCCTGTTCAATTTAAAGCATTGCCACTGAATACAAAGGTGTTTACACTAAGCTAAGATTTTGGATTTTCAGGGCAAAAGAAAGGACTTCAACGAGCAGAAATTGCCCATTAGTTTCGACATATTACCCCGCAACTTTATATGCTTATTCCAGCGCTGAACTATGCCTGGGAAGCTTCGGCACGCGAAGATTCATCAGCAAGGATGAAGCAGCCCAGGATACCCTGCTTGATTTCTCATCGGTGTTCGTACCCACAGGAAGATTTACCTCCCGAGCAATCGGGTGAGCTTTTCACGTACAGAATGTTCACAGAAATGACAGCCGGGATCGCCAGTGGTGCTGACGTACGACTGCCCTTTAACCATTCACGCCATTCAAATGTCTTACTGGTGAGCTACTGGCCACTTTATTATCACACCCACGCATCCGCCATTCCTGTCGTGTGTCATCCGGAACAAAGGCGTCTGGATCGGTTCACGACATGTACGTCAACTAATGGTAATGGGAAACACTTGCCACTTACCACTACGTATGGGAGCGCCAAGGTAGCGTCCTTACCATACCTGTAAAAGTGAAATTCCCAATTGCCTTAAATGCCCCTCGTATATAAGTAAAAAATTCTGCTCGGACTGAAAACACCTAAGGAGCGAGGCTTGACCACAAACTTACCAACAGAGCTCTAGGACGCAACGGATTTATGTCCACTCAAAATGCTTGCAAATTCGGAACCCCACAAACTGAGGAGTTCTTCTGATAGTTCACTGTCCCCACCGCTGGAAGGTGGCGGTGGTGATGGCGCTGGAAGCGAAGAGATTGTTTCCGCTGCTGCGTCTGCTAAAATAGGGAAAGGGTGAAGTCCGGAAGCGCCCTTTTCATTGACAAGCCTTCAATCGACTCTCAAAAACCTTGAAGTACTGCAGGTGAAAAATACCAAAGACATGCCAAGCAAGAACTTGTTCTGCGTAAAAGGTCATTTTCACACAGTTATTTGGCTTTTAAAAGTACCTCCAATCGAAATTTGGAAAGCTTAGAGCCAAGAACTAACCCTCAAAAGATGGGGAAGCCTTTCTGTGGAGATTTTCAGACTGAGTTGGGGGCACGAATGTGTAATCCGCTGCGGTAGGAGTGACAACGGAGGGCGAGAGTTCAGTCTCGAATGGTACCGGATTGGCAATTTGATCGACTACACGCTCGCGTGCTGAATATGAGCTCAGCCTGGCCGTGTCGCCATTCTTTTCTGCCACATCTACACCGGTTCGATCCCTAAGGCTTTAAGAAAGAAGAAAGCACAACACCCATTGAGAAACAAGGACAAAACAAACCGACGCAGTGATCATGCGAGCGTCTGGCAATTGCATTTAAGTTAGACAAGGCCCAGTGGGTTAAAGTCGGCAAGCGAGGAGTTAGTCTTGTTAGGTTAGGGGCTACAAAGGAGATTTATGGTCTCTCCAACCCACAAAACCCACGAAAGTGAGTTTGGTTGTAGTTGGAGTAACTCGAATTCACGTTACCGGTGGAATCAAGAGACCATCCGACCAAGGAGTTGCCAGGAGTAGATGGTCGCAAAAACGGAAATGATGCTCCGATTACAAAGATAAATTAAGCGTTTGCTTTCTGTAACTGGAGAAATAATTGGCTTTCTTCTTTAGCAAAGAATCAGAAGTTCAGTCCTTGTTAAAAGCTCTGGAAATCAGCACTTTCTTGTGATCAAACCGTAGACCAGTAAATTGTATCATAATGGATTGTAAATTTTTTTCCTAGATAAGACGGTAAGATTCGAATGACAGGCGAAAACAAAAAGCCCATTTCGCGTGTTGTTTATGATTCTATGAGAATCACACTGGGTTTTTACTCGGCTCAGAATGTTAAGATTTTCCTTCACTATGTGAAGAAGTGGGCTGGATAACCTCATTGTCAAGAGTCCTTTGTATCCTGCATGCAATATTAGAATGGCATGAAGCTCATAAAAAATGAAGCCCAGTGATCTGAGTACAAAATTTCAGAGATGACTGAGAAGCTTTTGTGGACATTAAGGAATCATGAAAATATCAAGAAGACCGGGTCAACGTAATAAAAATCAGTGAAGCC